ATTTTGTGCTGTGCTGACATCTGACACCGACTGTAGAAGCACAGGCATGCCCCCAAGCTAAAAAGATACATGAGAATCAGACTAGGCCTTTCACCTGAGGCACTTTAAAGGATCGGGTTCTAACAGGAGAAAGAAAGGCATGATGACAAGGTAATAGTGCAATTAGGAAAAAAAGAGGGAGGGCATTTTAAACTAGTCACAAACAGACAAATTAATATTATTAATGAAAATATTTCACCTCCAGATCACTGTATTGTGTATCCTTGTGGACATATTTAAACTAATACATTTGTTAAGGTAAGGTGGCATTTTCAGTAAAATGTTCTCCATTTTGTGGGGAAAAAATTACTCCAGTGCTCAATTAGAACCAAGTGACTACCCCCCAGTCTGCATATCACAAAAACAACTGACATAGCAAGGACTCTAGAACAACTCTAGCATGGGAGAAATGGATAGCTAAAAGGAAGAGGGAAGAAAAAGGGAAGTTTTATAAGTTCACTCAGCTGTGTGCTTAATTTCTGGAGCAAGGGAGAGCTTCATGTCTCTCACATTGCCTTCCACAGAAGTCATTAAGGAAGGGCTCTCACAGACTGAAGAGTCTTTTCCATTCTTTCGGTGTCAGGAGGATGGCAATTAAGAAAATGTTGTGCCCAGGTTTGGGGGAGTAAAGTGAGAATGAAATGGAGGAAATACATGGGGTGTCAGTGAGGATATAAAAATTCCCCTGGAAAAAAAAAAAATAACGTTAATCAGAAAATGTGTGTCTGCTTTAAAGTTATCACATATTGCTATGCATACCATTTCTTCTCCTGTTCGTTCCCTCCCCCTCCTGGCTCTGTGAGAGATATTCAGCACTCAGCACTTTTCTTTTGGTGACTTAACACACAACTAACTCCTTAACTGTCTTTCTGCAAATAGCCTGCCAATACCAGACAACATCTTTATCACCTGTATGATTCAAGTGGATTGCCTAAATGAGAGAAGCAAAATAAACCAAATATTTGCAACTTTTCACATTGCTAAATGGAAGTCACTCACAAGGCTAACTTTATCTGACCAATCAGTCTTATGTAGTGGTTGAGCATCTTTGAATACTTTTAATTGTCAAACTTCAACTTTTAAACAGCCTTTTAAAAACTGCAAGTTTTGCTACTTTGTATTTAGCTTAATTTAAATTCAGAATTACCCTCATTGCTTCCAATAGCTGTGTACCCAGAGCATGAATGTTGGCAGAAAGTCTAGCTTCTAGCCACAGAAAGATGTCAATCCCTGAAAAGTGCTTTGTTCAGACAGGCAGACAAGGTTCCTTGGGTGAATTTGATATCTTTTATTAGACCAACCCAAATAGTTGGAGAAAAGTTATTAAGCAAGCTTTCAGGTTCAAAAACCCTTCGTCAGGCTAAGGAAGTTTCAGCAGTTGGTGTGTGCTCTTCCTGGATGGAATGAAAAGTAAAGAAGCCAGGGGCTGGGCTAGGGAGTCAGTTGCCAGGCAGATTATAATGTATCAGAAATCCAATGTCTATGTTTAGTCCATGATCTCTAGTATCCAGGAGGCTGATGAAATGGAGCTCATAGGCTCGTCTCTGGGAAGTGTTGTGTAAGTTTCCCTTGAGGATCAGGACTGAGAGATTGGAGAGAGAGTGGCCCTCCTGTGAGAAATGTGCCCCCACCGGTAATTGGGTATTTCTGTCTTTGATAGATTTCCAGTGTGTGTTCATTCTGGTGCGCAGTTGTTGTTTGGTCTCTCCTACGTATTTTCCATCAGGGCATTTGGTGCATTGGATGAGGTATATTACATTTCTGGAGGTGCAGCTGTAAGATCCTGGGATGCTGATGGCTCTGTTGTGGGGTGTAGTAATAGTGGGGGTGGTGGAGATGTGTTGGCAGGTTTTGCATTTCTTGTCATGGCACGGTCTGGATCCTTTTGGTGTGTTCTGGGCTTGAAGAAGTTTGCTTCTGGTGATGAGGTTGGGAGGGGTGATACGTCATAACCAGATGTGTGCGATTTGTGGGGGGTTTTCTTCTGTACTGCAGCAGTTCTTCACGTGGTATCCAGGTGGCTCTTTCAAATGTGCAATCTATCTCTCTGAACGAGTGTCCTTGCTGGGTGAAAGCCTTTTTAACATTGATGAGGTGGCAATCCCGGGTGTTCTCTTCAGTACAAATGCGGTGGTATCTGAGGGCTTGGCTGTATATCACAGCTTTTTTGGTGTGTTTAGGGTGATTGCTGGTTCTGTGCAGATATGTATGTTGGTCTGTGGGTTTCTTGTATACTGTGGTCTGTATTTTACCCTTCTGGATACTGATCATTGTGTCTAAAAAGGAGATGTTGGTGCTGGAGTATTCTAAAGAAAGTCGGATGGAGGGATGGTGATTGTTGAATTTCTGATGGAACTCAATCAGAGATTGCAGGTTTTCAGTCCAAATGATGAAGATGTCATCGATGTATCTTAAGTATAGCAAGGGTTTGGTGGTGCAGTTCTTGAGGAAGTCTTCTTCCAGGTGGCTCATAAAAAGGTTGGCATACTGTGGGGCCATTTTAGTGCCCATAGCTGTTCCCATCATCTGGGGGAAGTGTTAATTATTAAAAGTGAAATTGTTGTGTGTGAGGATGAAGTGTATAAGGTCAGTAATATCTTTGGGTCTGTATTCTGAGTTGTAATCTTGTTCCTGTAGATATGCAAGGCAGGCTTGGATGCCATCCTGGTGTGGGATGTTGGTATATAGGCTGTTCAGACAGGGACCTTCATTCCCAAACCTAGGAGCAGTTTCAATATTTCCTTATTTAGACTGGAACAGAGATTATCTTTTTTTTATTTTAGGTTAGACACCTCCTTGCACAAGAGTCACCTAATTCTATTGATTATTTATTGCATCTGTTGAAACAACACGTAAAACCCTCAGTCAGGTCAAGGTTCCATTGGACTAGATATGAGACAAACATATAGCAAATGACATCTTCCATTTATAGTGTGAAAGAAAAGATATACAGCCAGGTTTGACAAGCAAGCAGGCTTGGAGAATGCATAGAAATACTAGGCTGTTTTCATGAGACTAGCTGAGTGCGCAATACGTAAATATTGCAAGTCGGTTGGTAGCAGCCCTCATTGGAATTATAGCTCCCTACCTCCTTGCTTCAATCAAGGTACGAGGTGAATATGGCCTAGACAAGAGTCTTAGCAGTGAGGCCAGGAAGAAAAGGTCATATTTGGGTGATGATGTATAGGAAAAAGCAGCAACATTTTTGATCCACACAGTATCTTAAGAGACATTTGAGTCATCAGTATAGAAAATGGTGGTCCTGTCGTGATAATGGAAAAGGCAGAAGGGGATGTTCTGGGAGAAAAATTAGGACCTCACTTTTGTCTGTGTTAATTTTGGTTGATGGCTAGTGTCACAGAGCACTGAGGTGCCCTGCTCCTAG